TTTGCCTTCCCAGAAAGTTCACAAGAGGTAGATATTTCCCTGATCTATTTCAGAGCCTTTTAGGAGTCATGAGCAAGGGACAGATGGGTTTATGTGAGCCTTCTCATCAAGATTTAGGAAGTAAGTTCATAGCTTTGTTTCCAGTTTTTAGATATCATTGTTCTTGTACTTGAGGCAAGGTGGCTTCTTTGGATTCAGATTAAGGCACAGATATTGGCTCTCTGAATCTATGTTTCCCTACTGTAAGATGGAGAGGTCCTCCTACAGGGTTGTTGGTGAGAATTCAGTGAAACAGTATATGTAAGAATGATAACAGCTACACCTTGTGGATCAGCCACTATGCCAGGCACTACATCATACACAGGGTATATACGTAATTTCTGATTTTCATATAAAGTACCTAATATGGCCCCTAGCACGGTAGGTGCTCAACAAATATTTTTTCCCTCCCTTCCCACCTCTCCCCACCCCACATCCCTGTTCCTGAGTGTAAGGAGAAGTAGAGCCTCACCTGGAAGGAGGGAGACTGACTCTAGGTCAGAAAAAAAGACCATGGGTTTTGTGAGGGGCTCCTGAAACAGGTTTTATACTGTAGTTGGGTGCATTCAAAAGTGGGACCAGGCTGCTTCCCCTCTCAGAGGTCTTCCCTTCCTCACCCCTCGAGTCCTGCCTGGCAGTGATGCTGACACACCTGCCAGAGTGTCTCCAAGTGCTACTAGCTTGCTCCTGAGCAGAGGCTCTCAGCCCACTGGGAAGGACAGAGTAGGGCAGGGCAGGGCAGGGCAGGGCAGGGCAGAGAAGTGTCTGCTCCACTGAGCAGCCCCTGCCTGTAGCCCAGAGGCCAGAGTTTACCAGAACCTCTTATTATTCCAGGCAGGTCTGTCTGCAGTGCTGCAGTAGCCTGAAGCCCCAGCCGCGCCCCTCCTGTTTCCTTTCTCCCATTTTTATTCATCATATCATATTCATTAGGAGGATTTGTAGCGGGGAGACTCAGGTGGTGAGTTCCTTTCATATTTTCAAATACCCCCTACTCTATAATCTATACAAGGAGTCTTTTTCCTCATAGTTTGGGGATGTATTTCTCCTTTAGCACCCTGGAAAAACTAAGAGTGAAAAATTTCTTGGACAAAATTGGAGGAAAGTGTGTCTGACTAGTGTTTACAGTTTGGTGACTTAGGGCATAAGGTTCTTGTCTCTGGCAGGTCCTCATTTCTAGAACTTTTTTTTTTTTTTATTTTGAAAGTCAGGGTCGCACTCTATTGCCCAGACTGAAATGAAGTGGTGTGAATACAGCTCACTGCAGCTTCCACCTCCTGGGCTCAAATGATCCTCCCACTACAGCCTCCCAGTTTGCTAAAACCATGGGTGTGCACCACCATGCCTAGCTAATTTTTGTATTTTTTGTAGAGACAGAGTTTCACCGTGTTATCTAGGCTGGTCTCGAGCTCCTACCTTCAAGCAATTCTCCTGCCTCAGGTTTCCAAAGTACTAGGATTTTGACACATTGCTTCAGGCTCTTTGTGGACCTGCTTGTTTCCCAGATAGGAAGGGAGTATGAAATTTTCAAACAAACAGAACCCTGCTTGCTTAACTCTTTGTAAGTCAGAGTAGTGCTGAAAATCACTCACAGGCATGAGCCACCGCGTCCAACTGATGCCTGCCTTTTAAAGGGCCTCTTACAGGTTTCCCAGAAAAGGAAGAGGTTTAGGCTAGAGAGAAGCAGTAAAGTGTAACAACAAGAGCACCAGGCAGTCAACACCGCCAACTTGCCAAAGACCAAATCACTTTTTTAATCTCCCTGGACCTTTGTATCTTCGTCTGTAAGGCGGGGTCACAGCTGTCCTACCTAGAACTGATAGACCAATGCTTTCACGTGTCATCTACATTATAGAACAGAAGCTATAGGACTTTAGGAGGAAAGAAGTCAAATGTCTTAATGATCATGTAGAGCCTTATGGTCTCTTGCCCTAGAAGGAAGAGATGAGAGAGTTCCCTCTTCTAACATCTCCTAGGCTTGCAAAATGCTAGAAAAGTGGAGGGAGCACATACCTTACCCAGAATGCCTCAGGCCAGATGACAAGCGGTAGGACCTTCCAGGTGTCTGAGCCATACATCTGACGCTGAGGTGGTACGAGCACCTTTAGATTATTCTTTGGCAGTTGCCTAATCAAATTAAAGGCCAGGCAGGCTCAGCAGCTGCAGAGAGTTCATATTCCAGAGAGCTCAAAACTCAGAAGTGTGGATGTCATGATATGCTTCCTAATCACAGAACTTTTATAGAGATCCCACCTTAAACCTGGGGCCCCAACTGCACACTGCCCTTTTGCCTTTGTGCCAGCAGCTGAGTGCTTGACCTACTGTGTGCTTCTCTAGATCAGCCTGAGGCAAACAAACCTTCTCATTCTTTTCTGCATGAGTTCTTCAGCCCCGTATGTTCTAATCTTACACGATCTTTTCCATTAGTCCTATGGATGTGGAAGAATCTCTCCTCTTTGGTACTCTGAAAAGAGGTTCAAAGTAAGGAAGGAATTCTGCCAGGCACGGTAGCTCACATCTGTAATTCCAGCACTTTGAGAGGCTGAGGTGGGAAGATCACTTGAGATCAGGAGTTTGAGACCAGCCTGGCCAGCATGGTGAATCCCTATCTCTACTGAAAACAGAAAAAATTCGCTGGACATGATGGTGGGTGCCTGTCATCTTAGCTACTCAGGAGGCTGAAGCAGGAGAATTGCTTGAACCTGGGAGGTGGAGTTGCAGTGAGTCAAGACCACGCCACTACATTCCAGCCTGGGTGACAGAGTGAGACTTTCAAAAAAAAAATGACGCTGCCTTAGAATTTCCCATTCTTGTTTGTGGAGTGGGGGTTCCCTGGCAAAGAAAGATGGAAGGGCACGTGGAGCTTATTGTTCTTCTACTTAAATGACTAGGTAACAAAAGTTCCTGAAGATCAAATTAGGCTTTCTCCCATCACTTAAGTGTCCTATCTGGACACTGGACACACTTCATCTAATATTTCCAAGTACAGTTTCTTTAATTCCATTCCTTTATCACTTATTTAGGGTGATGTGAAAGGCAGGGCCCATTCTCTACCCAACTAAAGGTGGAAGGAACTGAGTCCTGAAAAGGCTAAGTAACATCCCTGTCTTCATGGAGCAAACATTGTAGTGGGTGAAGACACGAAAGGTAAAATCCTCTGATACCTAGTTCAGCACTCTATCAGCATTGTTCCCAACATCCTCTCGAAAGGTGAAGAAGTTCTACTTAAGGGTCAAGATGGGTTTCTTGCTGTTAGAGCCCCTCCCACTTCTTCCAGGCTTGGAAGAGAAGCTGAACTGGAGTGAAACTCTGTGGTCCTGCCTATTCCTACGCCAGCCTGAATGAAGGGAGTTTGACACATTGCCTCAGGCTCTTTGTGGACCTTCTTGTTTCCCAGATAGGAAGGGCGTATGATATTTTCAAACAAAGGGAGCCCTGCTTGCTTAACTCTTTGTAATTCAGAGTGGTGCTAAAAATCGACGTGGGCAGCAGGGGAGGAGGAGGTGGCAAAGGGCAAATTGGGAGAGGGAGGAGTATAATAAATCAACCTGCATCCCTATGGAAAGCTTCTGGGAAGAGGATTGTCAGGAATCTGCAAAGACTTTGGCTACATGTGACTTTGGAGGAGGTCACTGATCAAAGAATCATATCCTTTATTGCATGTTTCCTGTGCTTCTTTGTTCACCTTCTAGAAGTGAGGGTGGCGTCTATTGATTACAGAGAGGTTGGCCAGAGCTCCCTGCCACTGCCTGGTAACTGAAGTCATCAGTGGGGACTATGAAACTGGGGCTGGGGCCCCATGTTCTCATGTTATGCTGAGAAAGAACCCTTCACATTTAAAAGGCTCATGTGTGGCAGTGGCTCCTGTCAGCGGCATGACACATAGCGGACCCTCTCTGAAGCTGACAAGGGGCCTCAGGATAAGTTTTCTTCCCACCTTTACCCCTCTGTATTGTCACCTACACATACGTCCACCCCACCCCCTAGTTAGCATGCATGAGAGGTAATGCATCTTTCTGAGGGGAGAAATGCTGGCCTCTCTCTGGTGCCTTTATTGAGTTGATTTGAGACTTTGGTGCTCACTCACAGGCTATCTTGTGACCTTGTTGTGCCCTGTCCTCTATCTGAATTGAGAGGTGTCTTATCGCTCCCACTCCAGAGAAACTTTAATGCTCAGGCTTTAAACTCTCTATCTTGCCACCTCAGAGGTCCTTCTGTCCCCCTTATTAAAAAAAAAAAAAATTCACCCTGTATCACCAACTGCCAAAACATTTTCCTCTCCTCCCCAAAAGCCTCTTGGACGAGGGTAGAGCTTAGCCTCAAGATCGAAACTTGGTACCTGCCAAGTGTTCACCTGCAACAGGCTGCAGAATTTCCGTACACCTGGAGGCTGAGTGCTCCAGGAGGTTTCGGAGGATTTTGGCATCTTCTATCAAGTTGTCTTCCTTGTGTGTAAATGTGTGTCTTGGGAGTGGGAAGAGTGTGGGGTGTGGGAGAGGATGGCAGACTGACAGGCCACCCTTCAGATCACTCAGATCAAAACTCCTTTTTCTGACCTCTTCTCGTATTGTATAGATAAGGTTAGACTAAAGAATCCTGTCACAGGTCCCTCAAATAGACAGGGAAAACATTCGAGCCATTAGAGATCGTAACCATTTATTTCCAAGTTTCTGAAGCTGTGGGTTTTATGTTGCTTGGTTGGGAGAGGTGACGCATCAAGATTGGGGTGCATTGAAATTACTTTTCTACATTGGAGCTTACAGGCTGCGGGGGCCTCACAGGGAGGAACAGGCCTCTCCTGAGTCAGCTCTCTGAGCTCAGGCCTCAGCTATCAGTTGAGCTCAGACCTCAACTGTCACCTAAACCCTTGTGCTTAGACTGAGTACCTCTTGCCCTTGCAGATGTTGGATCCTCGTGGCTGCTCTAATGGTTTCTTTTTGTCTATCTTTGAATCTTTATTCCAGAGATCCAGTTGTCATCTGTATCCAGGAAGCTCTCCTCTTCCTCCTCCTGAAGCCTCTCTACTACTACAGTTGCTGGTTGGTGCTAAGGTTGCTGCCATGGTAACATGCACATCCTGTTTACACCTTCATCTGGGCAAGTTGGTCTAAACTAGGAACCTACCTACCCTGGACAACGACTTCCATCACCACCTGGGGACACCAATCATCGTGACACGGAGCCCGCCTTCCACTCAGTTCCCCCATCTTCTTCCTCCTCTCGCTGCCAGACTTCATACAGAAGAAAGGATCTAGGCTTGGGACTGCTACTTGGAAGCTTTTTGCGCAAGATATATTCGATTTATTCCCTCACTGGGCCCCCAGAGAAGCAGGAAGTAGAAAGAAGTTGGGACAGGAAGGCAGGAGACACTGGTCAGTTGAAGGGAAACGCTACATCTTCTCTGGTTGAGGGGCTTGGTAACGGCAGGCAAAATGACGAACCCATCAGACCGTGTCTTGCCGGCCAACTCGACGGCCGAAAGCCATGAAGGGGACTTTGGCTGCACAGTAATGGAACTGAGGAAGCTCATGGAGCTGCGTTCGAGGGATGCACTGACCCAGATTAATGTCCACTATGGAGGTGTACAGAATCTCTGCAGTAGACTGAAAACCTCCCCTGTGGAAGGTAAAGGCCATATCAGGGGTGGGGAGTTGGAGGAAGGTGGCTAGTGTTTCAAAATATCGTTTTCCCAGCTTTTTAGAGAAGGCACATTTCTGGAGGTCCAACTGGTATATTGTCTGGTGGGAAAACTATGGCATCTGAAGCACTGAAAGGAGGTGAGGCCGTGAAGAGCCATGTCTTTCTCAGAGATGATGTTTACAAACTGCTATTCTCTGAAGATTATTCTTTTCTCCTTTTTCTTTTCTTTCTCTTTCTTTCTTCTTTTGTTTCTTTCTTTTTCTTTTCTTTTTTTCACGTGTGTGTGTGTGTGTGTGTGTGAGTGTGATAGAGTCTCACTCTTTCATCGAGGCTGGAGTGCAGTGGCATGATCATGGCTTATGCAGCCTCGACCTCTTGAGCTGAAGCCATGCTCCTACCTCAGCCTCCTGGGTAGCTGAGACCACAGGTGGACACCACCACACCCAGCTAGCTTTTTTGATTTTTTTTTTTTTTTTTGTAGAGATGAGGTCTTACTATGTTGCCTAGGCTCATCTCAAACTCCTGGGCTTAAGTGATCTTCCCACCTTGGTCTCCGAAATGCCGGGATTACAGGCATGAGCCACTGCTCCTGACCCCTCTTTTCTCCTTTTTCTGTATCAGTGTCCAGAAAGGAGGATATATATTTTATAAATGTTTGTGATATGAATTTTTTTTTCTGTATCAGTGTCCAGAAAGAAGCATATTTTTTTCAATGCTTTGTTTTAATTAAAGAAGGATATTTATTTTTTAAATGTTTATGATATAAATGTTGCCGTCAGCAAATAATCAAGTCCTGACCAGGCATGGTGTCTCACGCCTGTAATCCCAGCGCCTTGGGAGCCCGAGGCAGGTAGATCACTTGAGGTCAGGAGTTCGAGACCAGCCTGGTCAACATGGTGAAACTCCATCTCTACTAAAAATGCAAAAAATCAGCCAGGCGTGGTGGCGGGCGTCTGTAATCCCAGCTACTTGGGAGGCTGAGGCTGGAGAATCGCTTGAACCTGAGAGGCAGAGGTTGCAGTGAGCTGAGACCGTGCCACTGGAATCCAGCCTAGGCAACAGAATGAGACTCTGTCTCAAAAAACAAAACAAAAAAAAAATCAAGTCCCTTATTCTCTATGCCTTTGATTACAAAAGAGTTTAATTCTTCCGTACACTGATTTTACAGTGTAATGAATGGAGGAAGGAAGGGTACAAAAAAGTGAGTAAGCCCAACTGCCCGGTTGAGCTCTTCTCTATTGTATACTGTTAGAAATGGGATGATAGGCTAAGCAGGGTGGCTCACATCTCTAATCCCAGCATTTTGGCAGGCTGAGGTGGGGGGATTACTTGAGCTCCAGAGTTCTAGACCAGCCTGGGCAACATAGTGACACCCCGTCTCTATTTTTTTTTTTTTTTTTTTTGAGACAGAATCTTGCTCTGTCACCCAAGCTGGAGTGCAGTGGTGTGATCTCAGCTCACTGCAACCTCTGCCTCCCAGGTTCAAGCAATTCCCATGCTTCAGCCTCCCAGGTAGCTGGGACTACAGGTATGTACCACCACTAATTTTTTATATTTTAGTAAAGACAGAGTTTCACCGTGTTGATCAGGCTGGTCTTGAACTCCTGACCTCAGGTGATCTGCCTGCCTCAGCCTCCCAAAGTGTTGTGATGAGGAGGCTCACAAGTGTGAGCCACCATGCCCAGCCTCTATTTATTTTAAATTAAAAAAAAAATGAAATGGGATGTCACAAGGTATATAATTGTACCCATCATATCTTTGGATCACTCACTGTTTTGTATCGAAATTATAAGTGATTTTTTTTTCAATTCTGCTGGATACACTTTTCATGGGTTTATTCTTAAAATATAAAAGATTTTTTTTTGAGACAAAGTCTCACTCTTGCCAGGCTAGAGTGCAGTCGTGCGATCTCAGCTCACTGCAATCTCTGCCTCCCAGATGCAAGCAATTCCCCTGCCCTAGCTTCCCGAGTAGCTGGGACTACTGGCACACACAACCACACCTGGCTAATTTTTTTTTGTCTTTTAGTAGAGATGGGGTTTCATCATGTTGGCCAGGATGATCTCGATCTCCTGACCTCATGATCCACCCATGTCAGCCTCCCAAAATGCTGAGATTACAGGCATGAGCCACTGTACCCTGCCAAAAGATTTTAAAAGATAATGAAAAATCCAGTTTCATGCTTTCCTCACCCAGCACAGTTGCCCAGTGTGCCATGGTAAATTTTGCCTCACCAAAATCTAGAAGGAACAAAAGAAAACTTGCTTTTCCAGTTTTGCCTGGTTTTAGCATCTCTGTAGCAGATTCTTGTTTGGCTCTATGCTTCTGGCAGTTCATGGCTGAGTGGCATGAGATGGAGCAAAGATCTTGTCCATTAGAGGCTTTCAGCCTCATGTGGTCTCTTATTCCTGAATCTTCCTCAGAGGCCACATCACGTTTCTCACCAATTCTAAGAAGTTATTACCCTTTGCCAGAGCTGTATTATAAGTTAGTGACTTGGAGCCTAGACTCTTCAGATAAAAAGAGAAAGAGATTTTTACATAGATATCTATACCTAGCTTATGACTTATTTTCTTTACAACCTAAGGGAGCTTCCCTACCTATTCTCTTTACTTCTAGAATTTGGTTTCCCATCTCATAGGCTTTGAGTTCAAATACTAGCTCTACCATTTACTAACTAAGTAGCCCTCAACAGTTTACTCAGCCTCCCTCAGTCTGTTGGAGTAGAGTACGCCCACTGTACTCCAGCCTGGGCGACAGAGCCTGGGGCTCAAAATAAAAAGAAGACTGCCTTGTGACATGTACCTTTTGTTTTAATCTGATTTTGCCTTTCGCTCAAATAAGAAGAAAAAAAAATAAGTGTTCTCACTTCACCACGTCAATTCTGCTTGTATGTTTCCGTTTCTTGTATTTGAAAATAATGTTCATTCTCGTGATGGTGGTTTTGAAAAGAAAATATTGTTGATAATGCCTAGCCCATAGAGTTACTGAGATTAAATAATATATGGACGGTGTTCATATTTATAATCAGGTGTTCAATAGATTCGTTTTCTCAGATTAAAACAGAGCTCATGTGTCTGTAAGTACTTGCCAGAACATGGGCACTATGGAGGGCAATGGTTTGTCATATTTGGAGAGGTTACTGCATGTGTAACTGCAAGTACTGTCCATTTCATTCACTCACTTTTTTTTTTTTTGAGACAGAGTTTCTCTCTTGTTGCCCAGGTTTGAGTGTAGTGGCACTATCTCGGCTCACTGCAACCTCTGCCTCCCTGGTTCAAGTTATTCTCCTATCTCAGCCTTCCCAGTAGCTGGGACTACAGGCATCCAACACCACACCCAGGTAGTTTTCTGTATTTTTAGTAGAGACGAGGTTTCACCATGGTGGCCAGGCTGGGCTCAAACTCCTGACCTCAGGTGATCCACCTGCCTCAGCCTCCCAAAGTACTGGGATTACAGGTGTGAGCCACTGAGAATGGCTGCTCACTTCTTAATCACAAAAAAGAGCACCTGGGCAAGATGGCAAGCTCTAATTGCTTTCATGTGTCTCCGTCTTTGCCTTCTAATGGTAGCCCTTAATGATAGCCCTTTGGGCTCTGTCTACTTCTTGCCAGCTAGATTTCTTTATTTGGTTACTTTTACAGCCGTATTGACTACTGAGGGCCTGTTCTTAATTATATCTTCACTGAGATCATGCAGTACTTTACAAACACCCATCAGAATTTCAACAGAATCTTTCTTTTTCCTTTCCTATGCTACTCTTCCTCCCACTGGTCAGCTATCTCTCTCACAGACAGGAACTCAGGAGTCCAAAGAAGCTGGAACCTAGAGAACTCCTGACACAGGATTCAGGCTTTCCTCCAATTTTTTAGATCCCTTCCCAGAGCTGCCACTGTTTACTTTCTGATTCCCAGAGAGCTTCCATTCCCAAAGGCCAACATATGTTCTGCGTTCTGTCAACGTTGGATATCAAATGTTATAAACATAGCTAATGCTCGAGGATCCTTTCCCCGTCCTGGTTTCATCTGCTTCCAATGACAAGTGCTTTCCTTGCTACAGCCCCTGGCCAGAACTGTAGCCTATGACTCTGACCACTGGCACCGTTGTCTGCTGCCATGTCCTGCTTCCTTAGATCACAAGTATGCAACCTGGTGTTTTTTGTTTTCTTTTTCTTTATAATATATGGGGATCTCGCTATGTTGCCCAGGCTGGGCTCAAACGCTTGGAATCAAGCAGTTCTTCCGCCTCACCAGTTTGTATTAATGTAGGCATTACTATAGGGCTTTTTCTGGAACTGGGGTGACAGGGTATTGGAAAACAGCCTTTCCATTAGTAATTATTAGTCCCCAGTACCAATGCTGACCTCCTAGTGTGTGAGAGGAATAAAGGGGTAAGAAAAGGAGACATAGAACAGCTATGACATAGGAGTATCTACCCAGGCCAGGGTAACGCTCACCTGTTTAGGGTGGCCAGAGAATAGATCCCCAATACACTGATGCTATAAAAAGCCAGCCTGTTCGTGGAAGGCCACACAGAGGTGCCTGACAGCCTAGCGTAATTTATCACTGTGGGAAGTCTCCACGGACCAATAAATAGGCCAGGTGTAGTGGCTCACACCTGTAATCCCAGCACTTTGGGAGGCCGAGGCGGGCAGATCCCGAGGTCAGGAGCTCAAGACCAGCCTGACCAACATGGTGAAACCCTGTCTTTACTAAAACTACAAAAGATTAGCTGGGCATGGTTGTGCATGCCTATAATCCCAGCTACTCAGGAGGCTGAGGCAGGAGAATCGTTTGAACCCAGGAGGCAGAGGTTGCAGTAAGCGGAGATTGTGCCACCACACTCCAGGCCGGGTGACAGAGTGAGACTCCACCTCAAAAAAATAAATAAATAAAAAATAAATAAATTTACATAGTGCTTGAATTCTGCTGGTTGGAAACCAAGGTGAAAGTGAAGATCAGAGAGACTGGGTCCTAGAATATGAT